GGAGGAGCTTACAAAACTCAACCTTTAAACTATTAAACTTAGGGGGAGCTTGCAAACCTCAGACTCTAATGTTATCAAGTTAGTTAAACTGACCAACCATTGTTCTTAAATACCTTTATTTGTCATCATCAAAAATAGGGAGATTGTTGAAACAAAATTGTTCATATCCTTTGGGTTTTGATAATAGCAATTTGCTTAAAGAACAACTGGGTATACTAACATATGTTCAAGTATGCAGGATCATAAGGTTAAAATTCAACTCAAAAGTGACCCTGATGAAAGCATGTGTAGAGAAGCTAAAAGACTCGGATTCTGAAGGAACAAAATCTGATGAATATGAATGAGGTATCCCAGCTTCTGAAGGATCAGAATCTGAACATGGTTTTTTAACTTCTGATGACAACCTCAAACTCTGGAGACCTCAACTAAAGGTGTTCAGCGTCTGATCCGTACTCTTTCTTCAAAGCAGTGCAATAATGTCAAACACCATATTATTTTAAAAATTCAACTAGGGTTTCTTAGTGCAAGGCTCAAGGAAAGTTGATGTGAACTCTTAAGTCTTCCCTAACTTCTTGGTAGATACCTAGTATAAGAAAGATGCAGTGGACAAAGTTATTACAAAATGGATGAAGATCTTAATCGGATTCATCTTCCAACATATCTCATAGAAATTCTTCTCAACAAAGAACAATTCTGAAAGCCACCTTCTAACGACTCTTTTTCCGCCTCTATAAAACGGAGTTGAAGATTTGAAAAGGTTACCATAACAACAGAGAAATAATCTAACGAAGCATAACTCTAAGCTAAAGTTTTTATTACTGTTTGTTGCACAAGTTCTTAAGGTTTCTTATCTTTGTACATCTTATAAATCTTAAGTGTTAAGAATCTTTTTGGTTGTCGTATCACTTCTATACTTCTAACTTTACATAAAGTAGATTTTTTATATATTCTCCTAAACTATTTATTTAGAGCATAGGAAGTCGCTTGCTAGTTTGCTTGAGCGGTGGAATTCTCTTGCTAGTTTGCTTGAGCAGTGGAAGCCCATTGCATGTGTGTTTGAAGATAAGTCTCTTACTAGTTTGCTTGAGAAAAATTATCTTTCTAGTGTGATTGAGCAATTGAATTTTCTTGCTAGTTTGCTTGAGAAAGGTGTAATCGGATTGATTATAGTGAAAATATCTTTTTAGACAGGGGGATTGGACTACTATCAGTTTAGGAAAGGAACCAGGATAACTTTGTATGTTGTTTTGTTTCTTGCTTTTGAATATTATTCATTCCGTTGCTAACAACTCTGAAATCAGATTTTGAAGTTTTATTTTCAGAAGTGAAAAAGAATTAACATACATAATTCAACCCCCTCTTTCTTGTGTATTTTTCTCAGCTTCACCGCATCTTGGTATGGAAGTTCCATTCTATCTTTGCCTGAGTAAATGACTATATTTCTAGGACCTTTTCATCTGCCCAAGGATAATCATCTACATCACGAGGCAATTCAAGAGTTAGTGGTGGCACCTTTTTCCCCATGTCTTATTTACTACTCAAGGATAAAAAAAATGGCTATCGAAAGTCAAACATTTGTACCTTTCTTCCAACCACAATCCCACTTCATCCTTAGTAACCTTATGCTTGAACTGGATTTCTAAACCCCTACCAACCTTCTGCACCTAGGTGTCATCCATCATTTTGTCAACAATAGTGGAGTTCATCATCTTGGCTTCCCCGAAAATAAAACACACCCATACTTATCACAGTTTGATACACCCTCTTCTTAATCAAGCGCCCTAAGTGGAATCTCGCAGAGAATTTCATGTGTAGTATGGTTAATGGGGAGACAAAGTAGTACTTATCCTTGAAGTGTTTGAAATTATCCATGTACACTTCAAAAAATATTCAACCTTGCTTCAAAGAGATCAACCCTTGAGGATATTACTGTTATCACCAGACCTCCTCAGCATGTGGAATAAATGAAAGAACGAGACTAATGTATGAAAGTTATTCTAGTACCCACACTAGTACTAAAAAACATTCTCATACATCAAATCTATGGGATGCAGTTGCGAAAGGGAAATTTTGAGACGATTAAGAACTTCAACTTCAAAGTTATTGAAATGAATAATGGCCCTCATTCGGGAGAACAAACACTCATACATGAAATCTGCACATACCAAATTGGCTACTAACATGTTGATCATTTATGAGGAGTGTCACATATCCGTTTAATGACAGATCCTCATCCAGACAATAAATTCCATTATATCTCTGTGAGAGTAAAATTACTAGGTTCTTAGGACCTTGTCATCTACCCAAGGATAATATTCAACATCACAAAGAAGCTCTAGAGTTGGTGGTGATACCTTCTTCACCATTTCTTCTTTATCGTTCAAAGACAAAAGTTGCTTCTGAAATTCAAACATCTGGATCTCTATTCCAACCACCAACTCTTTCATCCTCAGTAACCTTATGCTTGAACTAGATTTTTAAACCCTACTAATCTTCTGCACTTGGGGGTCATCCATCGGATTTTCAACAATAGTGGAGTTCTTCATCTTGACTTTTCTGAAAAATAAAACATGCCCATACTTGCCTCTGTTTGATATGAATGGGATAAGACCCCTTATTCCCAAGATTAACCACCATTGCTTCAGTGCTAGAATCAATATCACTAGTTTTTACGTTATTAAGATCTACAATCAGGATACCTAAATTTGGGTTTTCTAGGTTTTCCATATTTAAACACAACTTAAAGCTAAGAAATCAACAATGAAAGTAAAAGAAAATACCTTGTGTTTTAATGATGATTCTCAAAGAACTCGAGTGAAATACAAGATGGTTCGAGCACTTTGATCCAAATTCCAAAAATCTCAGCAACATGAAAGTAACTAACCCACAAAGATATCTCTCTGATTGCACTTGAGGAATGAAAAAGAAGTCGAAAAATGAAATAAAATCTCAAGTTCTCACTCTATAGGCACAATGATAATCCTGATCAACAATCTTGATTCACTAGAATGCCAAAATCCAGATTCAACTGTTCATGGAAATTTTTGGAACACCAACTACACTTAAGTACACTCAACTGGACCTAGGCATGTTATCTTCCTACTCTATGTATGGGGGCGTATGGAAACCATCACCATAATAACGTTTTGTTCGCACTAATTTCATTCAATGCACATGTTCTCTGACCAACTACTCTCATTCAAGGCCACAACAAATGCCCTCTCAGTTGTGCACATTCTCAACAAACATATTCTTTCCATGATTCAATTTCATGGGTCAACCTCACTTATTTCTACATCAATAGTTCTTTCCTTAAAGTTAATAGCACGTACTTAAGAGGCAACTGTTATGGGATGACCAATAACTCATGAAGACTATCCAGATTTAATAAGGGTGCACCAACCACTAATGACCAAGTGGACCTTTGTCTACATGCTCTGTTCACGAGCTTGCCCATCCTTGCATCTAGACTGTTGATATACGTGAGGACAAAATTGAGACATTTATAGTTCTCTCCTCTATATGTGTGTGACTATGTGTCATCAGGGACGGAGCCATTCATGTCATTGTGCAGTCATATGCACCCCCTAATATTTCAATCATATATATTGTAATATATAATATTCATGTATATACAACTTTGTGTTGTTTCTTATATTACAACGCATAAATGTTATACATGATATATGCACCATATTTTTTGATTTAGTGCAATTAGATTTTTTTTGAAACTAATAATAGATCATGAATATTAATTTATATTTTATATATGTTATAATATTTACTTTTCAATAAAAATTGGTATAGTTGTACTATTATTATTTTTTAAATAATACATATTTAATATTTAAAGTAATATATTATATTTTAAATAAAATTTCATTGATATGCATTTTATTAATATATAAAAAAATGATATATATATTCAATTGTGTTTTGTTTGTAATTTTTTTAATATAATAAAGTGTCACGATGATTAAAATAATTTAACATAAACATAATTATCATTTTTACAAACAAATTATTTAACACAAATTATATATCATGTCCTCACATTCTATATTTTCTAACTCCGTCTCTCCCTGTGTATCACATTCATATATTTTTTCAATTATATTTGTAAAATTTTACCTTAGTATATACTAACTTAAGCGTCATAATGCTCAAAGCTCACATTTTTGAAATACTCCTCTAATCAATTAAAACAATCATAATTATAACATTAAAAACTTTATCGTGATGTTCATCCTTAACCTAACATTAATTATGTCACATAGCCCAATAAACTACCGTTTAAATTGAAAACACTTATGTTAAAATTTACAAAAATCGAATTCAAACAATGCTTTTTTCAACAATTAACACAAAAATCATGTAATTGGAGGAACTAAATACTGTTTTGTCCTTTTCCTAATATTCTTTGGCGTGTGTGTAAACTTGGAAAATAGAAAGAAAAAAAGACCAAAAGTTGTTCAAATAAAGAAAGTATTGCATGTTAGACAGAACATACTTTAAAAAATAACCTGCCTTCGCTGCTAAGCATTAGTTTTTGTCATTTTTCAATGCATTCAAAGTTTAATCCCCTTTTAGTAACTTACTCCATAATTGTAACACTAAAAGCATGAACACTGCATATCAACACCAATTTGATCCCAATTCAATCTCAAAAGTAAAACTCATCATGAAAACTAAATGTATTTATAAGTGCTTTTCTAATAGTACATATTTTCACCATACCCTCAACATGACTCAAATGTTAAGGACAAATCAAAATACAAAGCAAAAAAGATAAGAACCACAAGAGAGTGAACACATAGTGCAACTTTATTAAATCAAATTCTTTGTTAAGAATCTAATATAAATGAAAAGCAAAAAAGTGCTCTCACACTTTAATTCACACTTTCTTTTTGTCACCACAAGCAATTCTCTAGTGACTTTGAAAACAAAGAAACCATTTAAATATTTGATCAACAACATTATTGTTAAAACATCTTACAACAATGGAATTCCGAAGCAACATGATGTGGCTAAGCATGTTCTTTGTTGTGGTGTCTCTTTGGGGTGTGACAGTGGCACAAACTGACTCAAGTTGCACCAATGTGTTTATAAGTCTTTCTCCATGCCTTGACTACATCACAGAACAAACTTCCTCTCCTTCCTCGGGTTGCTGCTCACAGCTTGCTTCTGTTATGGGGTCACAGCCACAGTGTCTATGCGAGGTTGTTAACGGTGGCGCTGCTTCGTCTATTGCTGCTAGTTTTAACATCAATCAAACTCGCGCGTTGGCACTTCCAGCAACTTGTAATGTCCAAACACCTGTCAACACTTGCACTGGTACGAGTTATTAATAAATATATCTGTCTATCTGTCTGTCTATTTGTCTGAATTGTTTGAATATTTGTTCATGAAAAACTTAATTCTTTATATTGTCATTTCAGGTTCAACTTCTTCTTCTTCTCCTCCGACGGGTGTTTCTATTTCCAACATTCCGAATTCTCCTTCAGGTATCAAAATTAAAAACGAATTTTTAAACTTGAACAATTTTTTATTTTTGGCTGAATAGATGTAACAAATTTGATGTTTTTTGGTATAGGGAGTTTTGCATCAACAACTGGAAGCAGTGAAAGTATTCGTGGCTCATCGTCGTCTTATAGAACATCATCAAGTTCTGGAAATTTTCAATGTTCTTTGCTTGTTCTGGTTATCTTTGCGAAGTTAACATTCATATTCATAACCACTTAGGTTGCGTGGTGCATGTTTTTGTAAACCTTATTATTGTCTAAATTCTACTAATTTGTAGTACACCCTTAATTTGTTTTTCTCCCTTACACATTAACCAAGTGACAAGACATAAATCATGTTTGAAAGTGCTATATAATTTTTTTTTGTTGTGAAATGACATTAAGGAGAGAAAAAAAACAAAGGGAAGTAACCCAAGAAAATTCTCAAGCAATCAACTTTTACTTATGCGAGATCCACAATTTAGGGAACCTTTATAAATTTACTATCTTTTAGGTTTTTCTTTACTTGATAGACAAGATCATTTTTTTAATACAAAAGTTTAGATGAGATAAGTCTCTATGATTTTAAAACTCAAAAAATATTAATTAAGTATTTGGATTTGAATGGTAAACGATTTCAGGTTAAACATCGAAGATTCCAGAAATATCGAGTTTGATTTTGGATGAGAGTAATATTTGGTCACACTATGAATAATTTTTTAAATTAAAGAATCAAAATAAATCTGAAATTAATATAAGGGAAAAAATTAAGCCTAAATTTTAATGAAGATGATACAAAATAAATCTTTCATTTCTCTCTCACACTATCATGGGGAAATACAGCTAAATGGTGTGAAAGAAGTTATTTGATGACCTATGAGAAAAAAATAGTTGGATGGTTTTACTATTTGATAATTTTGATTACTTAGAGCATTTTTAATTGTTGGAATCCATATATATTTATTTTGTAGTTCAACTCTACCACGAAATGGTGAAGTAATTCATTTAATTTTTATTTTAATGGTGCAATTCTAACAAATTCATAATAAATTCTATAATTTTATTTCACATGTTAATATTTTTATGTATATTTTATTTTATTATAAATTTAAATATTAGTTTACATACTTTAATTAATATTAGCATGAAATAAAATTAAACTTAATTTTTTATTAAAAAAATAGATTCAACATTAATTATTTGAAATAATAAAAAAAATATTGAAAAATATAGTTGTAAGAGAGTTTGAATATAAATTTTTAACAATTACAATTTAGAAGCAAATTATGAATGGTCAATTGAAAATTGAATATAATATTTTAATTAATCAAATACTTTATTTATTTTTTTTATTATGACATATATACAAAACCAAAGATCTTCACCAGAGAACGGTAATTCTACCGGACAAACTCCAATAGTAATTTTGCTATAATTTAGATAAGATGTTTAATAAACAAGCCAAATTATTTTAATAAAAGATAATATTTAATTTAAAGAGAAATAGAAACAAATTTACTAGATTCACTAAAGTTGTCAAATAATATCTTACCATGAAACAATAATAAAATATGAAGTATGGAGCTGCAAAATAAAATAAAACGAAAAATAAAGAGGTTGTGTGGCGGTGCATAGAATTTCTAAGATTTTTTGCATGTCATCCCTACCCCATATGTGACACCCCACCTCATTTGTGCATATAAAATGACCATGTAGCTCTTAATGTAAAATAAATAAGATATTATCTCATTTGTGCATCACTAAATTTTTGCATTTCTCTCTGGCTTGTAAACATTGATTTAAGGTTTAAAGATTCAATAGGTAGAAATTAAATATAATTTCAAATTTAAAATAAAAAATTTATATATTACAACATTAAAACAATACTTTAATTTATTTAAGAAAAACTAATAATTTAGATTTATATGGTAATAATTTAGATATTCATTTTAGAGTGACTATTCATTTTAATCTCTTATTTTTAATTTAGATTACAACATTAAAACATTGATTTATATATTTTCATCCCGTATTTTAGAGTGACTATTCATTTTAATCCCTTAATTTTAAAAACGACTATTTTGTCTTTTATGTCTTCAAACAACATCCTACTAGTTCTTACTGTTAGGTTTGTTAGTTAAAGTCAAAATAATTTGTCGCTTGACATACATCTGACGCTAATGTGATGACGTATTCATCCAAAACCTAGATTTTTTGCAACATTCATACTATTGACCGAAAACTCATCTCATTCTTGCAACATTCATATCACTTTCCAAAAATTCATCCCATTTCTAAAACTCATTTTCTAGAAGTTCATCCTATTTACAAAACTCATTTGTAATCTTTTGTGGTCATTTTGAGCTCCTACGAATAAATTATTATTACATTCGGATGTACAATTTAGTTAAGTGCTTGTTTAATAAGCTCTTATTATACAAGAGTTTGTGTACAAAGTATTTTTAGAATTGAAGAGGTAAAAAGATAACATATATTAAAATAGTTTGACATAGGATAGTTGAAAGATAAGAGTTAAAAATAGTTTATGGAAATGCTTATATCTTAAACTCTTGAAATTTTGTTTCTCAAAGGATATATATTGAATACGATACTCCGACAACAGATTCGACAAGATACACTAGAACTATTATAATAATAATTACTAGACGATGTAGCAGAAAAATAATAAACAACACAGTCAATTATTTATCCAATTCGGTGAAACTACACCTACGTCTGGGGGTTGAGTCCATAATCCAAGAAAGGAAAATCACTTATTAGCAGTTTAGTATAATTAGTCTTACAGGCAACAACAAAACCTATGTTGTTCAATGCCTCTTTCTAACACTACCCAGTGACTTTCTATTTAGAGCCACCCTCTAAACATGAGAACCTACTCACTTTCTTCTCTATCACACAACCCGTGATAGAGGATAACAATCACTAAACCCTAGTGATTAACTTCAATATTAACAAGATGAAATAATGTTGAAAATTACAACTCAATTAGACAAACCTTCTATGCCAAGTTACTGAAACATAGAGGTGTACATAACAATGTTGAATTTACAACTCACTAGACAAAAAATTTATTCCAAGTTACTGAAACATAGAGGTGTACATAAAAATAACAAAGGCTCTTATAAACCCTAACACTATAAAATCTAAAACGTGAATGCTTGTTTTCCAATGTATGTTTGAGCTCCTTATATAGCAAAATAACTCTGAGTTTTTTCCTTGTAGATCAGCAGCTATTTTCGTCCAGAATATTTGCACAATTTGTTGGATGTTTGATTTGCTCCATGAATATTGCCAACAAAAAGATATGGTTTGCTTTGTTACAAATCTAAATATCTTTTAAATTTGATTTGATCTTCACAACTGTCCAATAAATCATATAATCATATTGCTAAACCAATATCAATAAAACATAACTGAATCTTCTCAAAAGGTTATGTTAAAACGCAACAATCAGGTGTCTGTAACACAAAGCTTAGATGTCGTACCAACATGATGGAGCATTGTGCCCAACATGTGTCCCTTTTGTAGTTCCATACAACTTTAGCAAGCTATATCAATCTTAAACACTTGGACACTTCTCCAAGGTATTGTTTTTCTAAATGCAGTCAACCCAAAGGACCAATCTACTAGGAACAACAATCTCCCCTTTGGAAAATTGTGGCAAAACAACTCTTCAAGATAAATAACACTTCTTCCATAAGAATATGTGATAGCCAGTAGATGTACTGGATCTTTAGAGCATTTCAACAACAACAACTTCCATTTTATAATTAAGCACCAGTAGCATCATAAGTCACAAGCATCAATATTTAGATGCTTACATATAATCCATTCAATTGCTTCAAACCAAACAGATGATAATGCAATCATTCACAGACTTGGTCGTGCATGAATATAATGTCACATAGTTAGTAGCATACAATTCTACTAACTAAGATATCTTAGTATGCAATCATTCACATAATATACACACACAACCAGTTAGTAGTTGATATCAAAATATGGAACGAATACTACTAACACAAATAAATCTGTTTTCACAAATACAAGGACTAGGACCAGATGTCCTGCCCAATGCTCCAACATAGAGCACAACATTGGCACTTACCAGTGATGGTGAGTAACAACAAAAAATGTGTTACTTCAACACTTAACACCACTTCCTACCCCTTTTTTCCATAATTTGGTTTAAGTCCTGACATTATTAAAATCTCAAAGCACCTTTAAAGTTGTAAAAAATATATAATATTTTAGGTGTGTGATTCAAATCACTCATCATATGACTCAGATCAAATGAAACAAAGGCTTTCGAGAATTTTTTGAAGCTATCATGATTTGAACCACATTTTACACTTGATTTGACTAACAAAACTCTGTTATTTGAATCACAAATTTCGTGACTCGAATCATGAAGTGATGTAGTCCCATGTTTTTCCTTATGTCTTGTTTGATTTGACTCAAAGTTTTCATAGCTCGAATAATACTTCAGTCTTGACTCGAATCACACTACTCATGACTCGAATCATGGCTGAAATGAGTTTCTCATAAATTTAAATCTTGTTCCAAATTACTTCGCCATTTGACTCAAATCATACACATGCTTATGACTCGAATCAATTATCATTTTTGCACTCATTTTGTGCATAATTTCAAGCACATATATAAATTATTTTCATCTCTCCCTCACCATTAATCTTTAGTGATTATTGTAATGATAATCATATCTTTGAAAGTATTTTGAAAAACTTGGAAACCCATTTTCAAAGAATATCTTTTCACATTTATCTTTTGCAACTGAATTCATCTTCAGCCTCTAGCAAGATTAACATTAGGTGTTTCTCAATTCTTAGAGAATGTGAGATCTATAGTATATGAGGTTCATTCTTTGTTGGTGTTTACGAAGTTCTTGAGTTGCAGGTCAAGATTCATATTGTGTGGTGTTGTTGAAGTTTGACAACCCAACATGAAAAAAGAAGTCTTTTCTCCAAGTTACTTCGGTATTTTATGTGTGGAATCCTACAAACAAAGTTAGAGTTTCTGTGTTCTTCAGATAAATCAATGTTCAAGGGACCGGTAGGATCGAGTAGAGGTTATTGCAGAATTGAGACTTGACAAAATTATTAATTCTGGAAGAGTAAAGTCGAGATCAAGTGGATCTTGCAAGACTGGAAAATTCGATTCCATATACAATAAGAGAGAATCAAGATAAGAAGATTAGTT